CACCTTTTATTTTTTTTTATTTTTATTTTTATTATTTTTTTATTTTTTTAAAAAAACTCTATTTTATATTTTTTTTATTTATAATTTATTTAATTAAATTTATCTAAATATTTCAGTAAATATAAAAATATTATGTTTTTTGGTTTTATTTGATTTTTTGTGTAAACATTTAAAAATAAAATAAATATAAAAATAAAAAAAAATTAAAAATAATTTTTAAAAATAAAAATTTCTTTTTTTCTTTTTTTTAGTTTTTTTTTAGTTTTTTGTTTTATTTCTTGTTAAATATAGAATAGTAATAAAAATCTTAGTATAATAATAATAGTAATAATAACAATAAAATTCAATCAAATGAAATTGTTTTTTCTATAAATAATAATTTTTTGGTATTTTTTTGTTTAAATTGATACATACCGAATTTCAAAAGAAATTTTTTAAAAAAAAAAATATCACTAACAATTATTTTTTATTTAATTATTATATTATAGTTGGTGTATGCAATAAAATAATTTAGCCAATTCTTAATAGTAATATATTTTCATTACATAACAAAGTTAAACGATCGAATATAGATAATTTATTATTTATTTTATAAAAAATAATAAAATATTTTCTTTTTTTTTCAATTATAATAAAAATAAAATAACATAACCAATTTGTAATAATAATAATAAAAATAATAATAAAATTATAATTTTTAAAATTTTTTTTTAATAACGATACAATAATATTAAAAAATATTTTAAAAATAAAAAAGGTCACAAATAATAGTAATAGTTCATTTTTGTAATATAGTTTTGTTTTAAAGGTATACATATAAATATTTAAAATGGAATATCAGTCCTCTATATTTAAACAAGTAATGAATCAACAGCAGCAACAAACACAATCATATTCGTATCAACCAATATCACAACAGCCACCATCCCCACAAACATATAGTAATAATTACTACAATGGCCATAATAATAATAATAATAATAATAATAATAATAATGTATATAATGGTAATGTTATTTACTCATATGGTGCTCAAGTAAATCACAATAATAATAATAATAATAATAATAATAATAATAATAATAATAATAATAATAATAATAATAATAATAATAGTAATAATAATAGTAATAATAATGGTCATAGTAATAACGGTTCATTTAGTTCATTTAATCCTTATCAAAGTAACACAAATAGTAGCGGTAATGGAGCATCATTTCTTCAACACTATCAAAACACAACAAACCAATTATATGGGTTAAATCAACAACAGCAACCAAATTATAATAGTTACCCCACAGTATCAACAACTTCATCACAAGTTACACCAAATCAAAAACGTACTTATTACCCATTAACTCCAAATCAACCAACTAATGCAGCCCAAATCCAAGCACCCAAAGTTTACACATTTAGTAATATTTCAAGAGAGATTAACGGTGCCAACAAAAATAGTGCATCATCTTCACCAATTTATACAGTTACTAATAATGATTCAACACAAACACCACAACCCATTAACAATAGATATTCAATGGGTTTTACAGGTTTTACAACTTCTCCACCATTACCTGGTCAAGAAAATAATTATAATGGTACAGGCTATAATAATAATATGAATTATAATATAAATAGTAACAATGGTAATAATAGTAATAATCTTTATAATCAACAGAATTATAGTTCGGGTGTTAATGGAATTTTAAATTTTAAATATGTCCCAAGTGAAAAAGAATTGGTTCATAATGCTTTTTTAAACAACAATAGTAATAATATTAATAACAATAGTAATATTAACGACAGTAAAAATACAGTACCACCAGTTTTCCCACCACCACAACCAATTTCAAATAATTATAATAATAATAATAATAATAGTAATAGTAATAATAATAATACAGCTCCATTAAATTTTATCGAATCAAATCCATTTATAATAAATGATTATTCAAAGAATCCACAAGATAAAACAGTTAGAGAAGATGTTAAAGAGGAGAAAAAAGATTCAAATAAAGAAAAGTTGGAGAATTCATTTTTAGTTCCAGGGGCTCCAGCATCGCAGACTCAATCATTACAAAACAAAACACATAAAAGATTTTACTCTACCTCATCACTTCAAGTAAATAGTTCACCAAGCTCTATTTCAAATAGTTCTAGTACATCAAGTTCAGATTTACTATCATCTAGTGGCGGTAAACCATCAACAACACCAACATCATCAACTCCACCTGTAGGTCAATCACCATTAAAGTCTAAATTTTTAAAAGTTGTTTCAGATGTAAAAAAGGGTTTGCCTCAAGTTGGGGATCAACTGTTAACTCAATATAACAACTTATCATTATCATTATCAAATGGTAGCGTTAACAAACCACCAAATTCCCTCAAAAGAAGTGACAGTTCAAATAGTTTGGATATATCATCACCGCAGTTGGTTTCATCAACAAATGGTTTTGCTAAAAATGCAATGAATAAACAAAATGCTACAATTAAGCCGTCATCAAAGGGCGATGATTTCTATTCATATTATGGCTCTGTTGAATCAAATGATAGTAATACCGATACAAATACTATTAAAGATACAAGTGATTCAGAATCAGATAATGATATCTCAAAACCTTCATCTAAAATATCATCCTTAATAAGTGAATTTGAAGATTTGGGTCATGGTGATAATAATATTAATAAAAGTCCATTAAAAACATCATCAGAGGCAATAACCATTCCACCACCACGTAATGATTATGCATTTAAATCACATACATTAAAACAAATAAAAGATCAACAGCAAGATACCCAACCAAAAGCACAACAAACACCAACTAGACTAAGACCTGTTTCATCAACCTATCCAAGCATTACCTCAAATTTATTATCTAGTTCACCACCAAACGGTGATTATCCAAATTTAACAAATAACACTCCAACAAAAGTATTTAAAGAGGATATTACATTACAAAGATTTAAACCATTACCACCAAGACCTGTTTTAGGATCAAATACCCCACCATCAGACACCCAATCACAACAACCAAAAGGTATTAATAGTTACACAAAATCATTTTTAAATATGTTAACTTCAACTATTGGTAATTCAAATGAAAATGAAATTGAAATTAGTGGTCCAAATGGCGCATCAATAGAACGTTATAGAGAAGATTTTAGTAATTATCTTACAGAGTTTGGGGATATTTATAAAGTTTATCAACACATAGATTGGCATTTAGAACAAAGTATTGTAAATATTGAAACAATCAAGTTATTAGGTTGTAATTATGGTTTCTCTGATCAATCTCGTGCTACTTCATGGATGTTGTTATTAGGTTATTTACCAATAAATTCATCGCAAAGAACCTCAGTTTTACTTCACAAAAGATCTCAGTATGTATAAAACCTTTTTTTTTTTTTTTATTTTATTTTTTTATATTAATTTTTTATAATTTTATTTTTTATTTTTTACTAGATATAGAGATTTAGTTAAAAAACATTTACCAGGTCAAGATAGAAATCTAACCTTTGTATTCAAACAAATTTCAACAGCATCAGCATCAGCATCATCAAATAATATAAATAGTAATAATAATTTCAATAATAATGATGGAGTATTTTCAAGTTCATGGGATGATAATAATAGCTATTATCAGCAATTCAATCAACACTTTAAGAATCCAAGTAGTAAGCTTTTTAGTAGTATGGTAAATTTAGTAAACATAAACAAAGCCAAAAACTATGAAGAGTTGGTACAGCAAGTTCATGTTGATGTTATTAGAACAAGACCCGATGGCTTTGTGCCATTATTCGAAACACCAGAAATTGAAAAAATGTTGGAACGTATTTTAATGATTTGGTCCATTGAAAATGCAGATATCTCATATTTCCAAGGTCTCAATGATTTAGTATGTCCACTTTTATTGGTATTTTTAGAACACGAGGTCAATCAATTAAATCATAGTAATAGTAGTTCTTATCCATCCATCTCTCAACTATTAGAACAAACCTCATCACCAGCTTCACCATATACACAATCTACATCAAACAAATCTAGCTGGTCAACGAAATTAGAAAAATTATTGGGTGAAGGCTTAATACTTAAAGAGCTTAAAGAATGTGGCCAAGCCGATGTAGTATTATCACGTGTTGAGGCCGATGTCTATTGGTGTATTAGTTTATTAATGAATACAGTCAAACACTATGCTCAAGGTACAGGTTGTGGTTTGCCAGCAGAAGGTATGATGAGAAGATTAGAAGCATTGGTACGAGAATCAAATGGAGAACTATATAAACATTTAAAAACTAACGATATTGATTTCAGTCATTTCAGCTTCCGTTGGATGGTTTGTTTCCTCACAAGAGATTTCGATTTAGAAACAGGTGTTAAATTATGGGATCATTATTTCTGCGATAGAGAGAATCAAGGTTTTTCACTATTACATATTTGCTTTTGCTCATCATTATTAAACAAATGGACACCCGATCTTTTAACCAAAGACTTTATGGAATTGGTTCAGTATCTTCAAAAACCCCCATCACTTCAATGGAACTCTACCAATTTAGAATCAATATTTAGATCCTCATATTTACTAAAAGAGAAATATAAAAACATTCTCCTTTAAAAATAAATAAATAATATATATATAATGAAAATTATAAATATATTTACTTTTTTTTATTATTATAAAAGTAAAAAAATTTTATTTTTTATAAATTATAATAAAAAAAAAAAAACAAAACAAAACCTATAAAAAAAAAAAAATTTAAATTTATTTTTCCTTTATAATATACATTCAATAAAAAAAATGAATAAAGGAATATTTAAAATTACTTTTTTCTTTATATTTTTTTTATTTTTTTCTTTTTCATTAGTTTTAGTAGTAAATTTAAATAAAAAAGAAAATAAAACTTTCAATAATATCAAACCCAATTATATTAGAAATAATGATTCATTTATAAGTAATGATAATCAAATACAAAATGAAGAATTTGATAATAGTTTAAAAAAATATCCCTTTCAAAATATAGATAAAGAGACTAGATTCAAAAGTAAATTTTTTAAATTAAAGACATCAATGTATAATAGATTCCCAGAGTTTGGTAAAGAGATAAACTATTGCAATGATTTGGATGGAATTCAAACCCCAATAACTTTTTTAAAACTATACCCATCACAAAATATATTATTAGAGATATATTTTAATCATTATTTTGATTTTCCAGCAGAGTTAATCCCAGAACCACCAAACCCAAACATACCAAGGGTATTGCATTCATTAGAACCCCCATCTTTAAGAATATGCACAGAGAATGAAAAATGTATTTCAAAATTTAATTGGTCAGTTTCATATGAAAGAATAGCAGATATTAGAGTAAACCACTGCGATGATAAAGAAATTTTCCAAATTTTACCCTATGAATTAGATAAATTTGTTATGAATAATAAAACACAGTATATCAAATCTACACTATTAAAAACAAATGGTAAAAATAATAACAACAATAGTGCCAACAATTTTAATTATAATAGCAATATTTATAGTTACTCTTTAGCAAGTTGGTTTTGCAGTAAATGCGATGCCCCATCATCATCCAATAGACTAGAGTATATTAAAGAAATGATGAAATATATAAAAATAGACTCTTATGGATCATGTTTAAATAATATACCAGTTACAAATATAACAAGTAGGTTAAAAGAAGATGCTATGGATGTTAAACAGTCATTAATGGGAAAATATAAATTTTATTTGGCTTTTGAAAATAGTAATTGTATTGATTATACTACCGAAAAACCCCTACATGCATTAAAGTCTGGATCTGTCCCTATTATAATGGCCCACCCACAGACACAAAAGTATTTACCAGAAGGATCCTATATATATGCTGGTGATTTTTCTTCTGCCAAAGAATTATCGGATTATTTAATCTATTTAGACCAAAACGATGATGAATATTTGAAATATTTCCATTGGAGATTTAACCAAGTAGTAATTGAAAAATGGATAAACATTAATGGGTACCCATACAGAGCCAATTCAAGAACATGGATTTGTTCTTTATTTCAGCACTATCAAAAATGGGAAAGAGGCTTGGTACCAAACAAAACTCTATATGTAACCCCTTATGACGAACTGTGTTTACCACCAAACTTTATAAAAATTAAATAAAATAATTATAGTTATAAAACATAAATATACTTCCCTTTTTAAAAGATATTAGAATTTACAATTAGTTATAATTAGAAATACCTAAATTATTAAAACTTTAAAAATATATAAATTATATAAATTGGTTGATATTTAATTGAAATATATTTAACAATACAAATTATTAAATAGCTTATCTATTTAAAAACAATATTTTTATTGATAATTAGCAATTTGGTAGATTTGAGTATAGTATGAATTCTTTTTAATTTTTCAAAATAATAAAAAATTTAAATTTTTTTTAACCCACAGTGTGCTTAATAATTTTTTTTACTCCACTTCATAAAATTAATATAACAAATAATGTATATATTTGGAAATAAATGAAGATTTTTTTACATACAACATTTAAAAAAAAAAAAAAAAAAAAACAAATATGTTGTTGTGCCAAAACAGAGCAAAAAAAAAAACACCCCAATATCTTTCTATTTAAAAAAATACAAAAAAAAACACCCCAATAATAAAAGATAAATTAGATATCTAATCGACTCTTTATTTATCATTAATCTAATTTAAAAAATGGGCATTAATAATAGAATCAGTATAGCTTTAATAATTTTATATTTCTAAAAATTTGTTAAATATGTATATTACTTTTATTAAATTATTGTTTTTTTTTAATAAAAAAAAAAACTATAAATACTTTAAAATATTATTCTTAATATCATTAAAATACAATTTATAAAGCATCAATACCAAACCAATTTAAAAAAATGTTATTCAGTAAATATTTACTAAAAAAATTTAATAAAACTAAAGTTTTTTTTTACACTAATAAAAAAACTATATACTAACTCCGGAATTTTATTTAGAATCAATCCAATCTTTAACCAAAACATAAAATAATAAAATCCAAATAAATTCAAATTGCTTCTCATTAAACTATGGAAGAAATGATGTTCAAGTACTTGGGGACCATAACATTCGTCTTGACCAGAGTAAGTTATTTTTAAAAAAAAAATTATGTTTACAGTATTTCTAATTTTTATTATAACTCTTTCTTTTTCCTTCTTTTAATATAGCACAAATAGTAGTAGTTTCTGTCGAGATGGATTTATAAAAAAAAAATTTAATAAAACAACAGTTTTAAATTACTGTAACTTTTGCCATTATTTTTTGAGCTATCAGAAAAAAAAACACTATTTTTTCTTACATTTTCATAATATAAATAATATAGAACCACCCCAAAGTCCCAATATACTTTATTTAATAATAGAAAAAGATTTTAAATTTTAAAAGTTAAAAAAAGAAATATTTTTTTTTGGTGATTATATAAATTGTAAAATAACTTTTAATAATTATTTTTAATCCTTTGGAACAATTAATCTTTCAATGATTTAAAGTTTCTTAAATAGATTTCAATTCATGTGATCTATATTTTCTATAAAAAATAGAAGTTTTTTCAATTACATCCAACAATTCAAAAAGGTTTTGAAATTATAGTATGTAAAAATGTCAAATTATATGAATACATATCACATATATTATTATAAATATCCATTTAATAATAAAAAATATAATTGATTAGATCATTTTGACATAATAATATATGTTAATATTTTGAGAATAAATTCATTTGTAATCAATGCAACAATTTTTCCATAGTTATTAAAAAATATAAAATTTTAAGTAATTTTAGTATTTTTATTATAATAATATAAAAATAATATATATAATAAAAATTATTATTATTATTATTATAATATACCCATTCATATTTGATAAAGATATAATAACTCATGATGAAAATTATAAATTATATAGATTAAACCAAAAAGGTAATATCAAATTTTGGTTTTCAATAGTAAAATAATAGTTTAAAAGATCAATAGCAAATAAAGTATCACAACACTTCTCAAAGTGATTTTACATTGAAATTTCAAAGTGTACCCTTTTGCTTTCAATATAGCTAATTTCACCCCATTGAGTAGTGTTAACTAACTATATTTCAAAGATCTAATTTTCCCTTAATTTAAAAAACATAAGGTTCAATTGATTTAGATTGGATCAAACATATTCATACCCCTTTATTCTTTGGTGGTGAAAAAAGATATTACAAATAAATCGTTTATTAGTAGGCTGTTTGAAGATATCTTAATACCATTCAATTTTATTTCATAGCATCTTAAAGAATTTTAGTACCAAATTATACTCTATACAACTCCCTATGGTGAACTATTTTTACCAACAAAACTTTATAAAAATTAAATAAATTATATTTTAATAATTTTAGGTAATAAAATATGCATATACTTACATTTTTAAAAGATATTGGCATTTACAATTAAATATAATTAGAATTACCCAAAATATAAAATCATGGATCTTTATTTGAAATAAATTAAATAATAAACGCAAAATATTAGATCACTAATCTATTTAATAACAATATATTTTAAAATCTGAGCATTTGTTTATAGATAATAAGCATTTTGGTATCTATAGTAATTCATTATTTTTTTAAAATTTTAATTTACCTCCAAACTACAATTTTTTTAACCCACAGTGTGCTAAATAATTTTTTTACTCACCCCCACACTAATAAATTAATTAAACTAAATACTTTTGGATATACAACATCACATATACCAAAACAGATAAAAAAAAAATATACCCCAATAATAAATAAAATTTAATAAAAGATAAATTAGATAAATAACAAATCGATTCTTTAATTATCACTAAATTAATATAAAAAATGGGCATTACTAAATAGAATCAGTATATAGTTTTAAATATTTTATTTTATATTTCTAAAAATAGGCATTTTGTGTAAAATATGTATATTACTTTTATTAAATTTTTTTTTTTTTTTGTTTTTTTTTCATAAAGAAAAAAATATAAATACTTTAAAATATTATTCTTAATATCATTAAAATATAATTTATAAAGTATCATTACTAAACTATAATATTACTATCCAAGAAAAAAAAATGTTATTCAGTAAATATTTACTAAAAAAAAAAACAAAGTTAAAAAAAAAACTATATACTAACCCTGATATTTATATAGAATCAATCCAATCTTTAACCAAAACATCAAATAATAAAATCCAAATAAACTCAAATAGCTCCCCATCAAGCTATGCTGGAAATGCTGTCCAATTACTTGACCTTGATATTGACCTCTGTAAGTTACTATTAAAAAAAAATTTATATTAACATTGTGTATCTAACCATTTCTTTTTTCAATATTCATTATAGCACCACTTTTAGTTCTTGATGTCCATCTTTAAAAAAAAGAAACAATTCTAAAAAAAAATTAAATAAAATCTATAATTAATTACAAAAAGTTATTAAACTATTAAAATCAAAGTCATAATAATGTTTTTTTTTTTATTTTTTTTTTAATAAAAATGATATCAATTTTATTTATTTATAATTTAAAATTTATTGATATTAACCCTACTATAGGTTATTTAAAACATGTTTCTGAAATTAGCTGACTGTACCAATGGTTCTTAATAAATAATAAAATTAATAAATTAAAATTTAAAAATAAATTATAAAACAAAAACTTACTTATATCTCCATTTCCTCTTTTAGAAGCTGCTGAGCAAGGGTGAGTTCTGAAGATATTGATATTTTTATACATTTTGAAATTTAAATAGTTATAATATATATATATAGGATGAATAAAAAAATAAAAAAATTTAAAAAATATTTAGAATCAAGATTTTTTATAAATTTTATAAAAAAAAATAAAATTTTTATTAAAAAAAAATTAAAAGGCATAGGATTGATAAAAAATTACAAATAATTTTATTCATTTATTAATTTTTATAGTAATTTTTTTTATTATTTAGAATCTTGATAAATTTCTTGAGGAAAGCATTGAAAAACCTTCTATAAAAAAAAAAATTGTTTTAAAATTTTTAGTTTAAACTTATTTAAAAAACAACCACAGTTATAACTTACTGTTATTTCCGCCATTATTTCTTGAACTAGCAGAACAAAGTTTATTGTTTGGACGAGATGGGGTTGGAACAGAAACAAACATTTTTGAATTATTTATTTATTTTTTTTTAGAGTATTAAATTTATATATAAAATAGAAAATAAAATAAAAAAAAATTTTGGTTTTAAAAAAAAAAAATAAAAAAATAAAAAAAATAAAAAAATAAAAAAATAAAAAATTTTATTTATTTGTTCAGGCATGCACAAATTTTATTTTTATTTAAAATAACTATAAAAAAAAGATAATTCTTTTTTTTTAAACTTTAAAAATTTAAAATCTTCTTGTATTTGAACCAGATTTATTGAGACCTTGGGGTGGTGCTATATAAATAAATTTATTATATTAATAATTAAACATAATTATTTTCAAAAGTAAAATATTTAACATTTACGATTACTTCCTCCTATCTTAGAACCTCCAAGTCCACCTTTTGATAGTGCTATGCCTTGTGAATAATTAAAACTCTCTTGAAACATTGTAAATATATTGTTTGATTGTTGTGTTGTTATAATGAAAATAAAATAAAATAAAAATAAAAAAAAAAAAATATCAAAAAAAAAAAAAAAAGTAAAAAAAATGGGTGTTATTTTAAAAGAGCCAAATAAAAAATTAAAAATTTATCGGATATTTACAAAGATATTTATAATAATCTTTGGAAACGATCTTTTTTTTTTATTTTTTTTTTTATATACAATTATTTAAATATATTATTTTTTATTGAGTGTTGTAATAATTTTATTTCTTTTTAATTGATCTACTTGAAGTCCCTCTTCTCTTTTTTGAATTAAAAATTTTATTTGTTTTTTGTTTAATAACTTTATCAATTGGTGTTGGAGTTGAATCAACTTCATAAACCTCGGATCCATCATCTAAATGTCTATTTGGTTTGGACTTTATTCTATTTTTATTATGTTCTTTAGACTCACTGTTGTTTGGTTTATTTTTATTTTTTGATTGGAAATCTGATTGGGCAAATTGTTCCTGTTCCTCCATTTCTTGTTCTTGTTCAAACTCTTCAAACTCTTTGAAATCTTCATCTTGATCCATTAATCTATCTAAATCCTCATCTGAAATATTATTTTCTAAACTTTCTTTTGGAAGGTAGAAACCTGTATCTTTATCGTATACTAAACCGCTGCCACGTAAAAGTTTTAGTCTCATCTTTTTATGAATCTGTTCTCTTAGTTCTTTGTATGGATCAACTGTATCTGTCTTTAATTCTGCATCATCGTAGATCTGCTTAACTTGTTTTGAAATACTAATATTGATATCTTCCTCAGTCTCTTGAGTTGGTGAACCAGCCTCATCTTTAATTAGGATATTTAATTTTTCCTCATAGTCTTTTTGAATTTGGTTTTTAGTTGTATCTTGCTGCGATATTGATAAGGTTTCTTTTTCTTCATCGATATTATCGAAATCTTCGAAATCATTTTCTTCATCATAATCCATGTCATCATCGAATATATCTGTATCTTCGCTAGAATCCAAATCATTGTATGTCTTATCTTGATCGGGCTCAACGATTGCTTTATATAATTTATCTTTTTCTTTATCCTTTTTAATCTCCTTATAGTCTCGCTTCTTTTTAGATTGTGAAACTTGAATATTATATAAATCCTGTATTTCTTTTTCGGTTAAATGTCTCCATTTTCCAACGGGTAAATCGCCCAATTCAACTGGACCAATTCTTGTTCTATGAATTTCGAGTGCCTTATTATCATTGGCTGCAAACATTCTTCTTACTTGGTGATATCTACCTTCGAAAAGTGTAACTTTAACTTTATTTTTACTTTCATCCAATATCTCTAATTTTGCTGGTTTGCATGGAGCCTCTTCGCCTCTTAACATTAAACCACCACTTTCAAAAACCCCAATTTCATCACCGCCCAATTTATTCTTTAAAACAACTTCGTAATCTTTACCACAACCATCGTCTTTTGGTGTTATAATTCTCTTTTAATTTTAATAATAAAAAAAATTAAAAATAGTAATTTATAATAAAAAATATAAAAAATAAACAATTAATACTATATAAATAATAAATAACTTTTATATTATAAATATTTACCTCTACTAATTTACCATCTTGACTAAAAATTACTAAACCAGTAACCCATTTATCCAATCTGCCTGCTATTGATGGTATTGGTTTTCTACTTTGGAAATCTTTTGGTAATAAATCATATACAACTTTGTGGTCACCATCATTAACTGTTGAGCAAATATAACCTGATGGCTTATGAAGTGCTAAATGTAAAGCTGATGGGTTTTCAATCAACTTACCATCAATTCTAACTTCATCTGGGGAAGCTTTAGATGACAATGTTGCTTTTTTACCTGAAATTGTAACCCTCTTTTCGTTTAAAAATCTTGGTACCGAACTTCTTTCAACAATACCCAAATTTGATAATAATCTATCAATCCTTAATTTCTTGCTGTTTTTTATTATCATTTTATTTTACAACAATATGACTACTATTACAATAATTATAATTAATAGAAGTATATATAAATAAAATGAAATAAAATGTAATAATTATTATTTATTAATAAAATTAATTATAATAAATTTAAAAAAATAAAAGTTTTTATAAAAAATAATAAATAAACCGAACGAGTTTTAATATTTACACGTTACGTTTTTTTTTTTTATAATTTTTTTTTTTTTTTTTTTTTTTTTTTTTTTTTTTTTTTTGCAAAATTTTTTTCAAAATTTTTTTCTCGACAAACATAAATAATTTTTTTTTGGTTTTCTTTTTTTTTTATCAAAGCAGCAATCAAAAGGTAAATACTCTCATAAGAAATAAAATAATTATTATCGTTTAAAAAAAAAAAAAATTATTTGTTTTACTAGATGATGAAAACTTAGATGACGAGTCATAATTTTCTACGAGGGATTAATTCTTTTAGGTTTTCTAGGAGAATTAATTTTCCCTTGATAGTTGATGATTTTGGCGCCTGATTAAAAAAAACAAATAAAATATATTTTTTTAAATAAACATAATTTTATTTTATAAAATAATTTAACCAAATATATTTAATACTAATATTTAATTTTTATTAAATTTAGGTTGTCTTGTAAAAAATCATGATTTGAATTAATTTTTCGAAACTGTTTGTCCAAACCCCTTTTCTTTTTAGTCGGCAAAAAAAGAAAATAGGAAATTTTTCCTAATTTCCAAAGTGGCTCTACTCCATATTGATTTTAAAAAAATCATATTTGAGTGTTTTTTTTATTATTAAAAAAATTTAATTAAATAAATCCTTTTTTTATATTTAAAACAAAAAACCTATTACTTTTTTCTTTTTAATTTTATTTTATTTTATTTTATATTATTACCCGCAAAGTATAAACCCAATTTCAAAAATATCTATTTTTTTTTTTTTTGTTTTTAAAAGTTTATTATTGCATAATTTTTTTTTTTTTCATTCTCCACCCACGCTCTTTGCTTTCTGACTGGTTATAAAAAGTGATTAAATTTTATTTTTTTTTCAAAATAATTTTTTCATTTTTTTTTTTATTGGTGGTGTTATTATTTTTATTATCCATTATAAATTATCACCTTGTAATTACTTGAAAATATAAATATAAATAAAAAAAAAAAAAAAATAAAAAAAATAAAAAAAATAAAAAAAAAAGTAAATACATTTTTTTTACATTTTTTTTTAAACACAAAAAATATTCAATAACAATATTTTTTTTTTCAACAAATTGGTATGTATATTTTCTTTTGTATAAATTTAAATTTTAATTCATATGTTTTTCAATTGGTTATCCGCATTACATAATTATAATAATATAAAAAAAAAAAAAAGTAAAAAAAAAAAAGTAATTATAGTTTTAACGCCTCAACCAAAAAAAAAAAAAAAATAATTAAAAAAAATATAAATTTTTTTTTAAAAAATATTCTCCACCATAGAAAAATACACAGTTTTCAATTTTTCACTATTTACTTTAATAAAAACAAAAAAAGATATATATTATTATAAAAATATAATATATTATAAAACTAAACTAATAATTTTAGTTTTTATTTTTTTATTTTTTTTTATTTTTTTGGTTTTATTTTTTTTATTTTTTTTTAATTTTTTTATTTTTAAATTTATTCTGTGTTATTAAAGAAAATAAATAAAAAACATAACATCAATAAAAAAAAAAATAGTTTAAAAATTACACACACATACACACATACACACATACACACACACACAGAACTAAATAAATAAAACATTAACATCACTCTTATCATCATTTTCTTCAAATCACATTTATTTATTTTTTATTTATATATATAAACAAAATACCTACATTTTTGTTTCTATATTATTAGCTATTTTTATATTCATTAAATCAATTTAACCACTAACCACAAACAATTACTCACACACATAATACATAAATAGATCATTTACCACACAGCACAGAAGAAGGTTTAGAGTAGTAGTAACAAAAAGAAACAGAGTTATAAATGCATTAATTTTTTTTTTCTTTTTTTAAAAATTAAAAAATAACCCACTCTCATCAAGTTTAATTCAAACAACAACACATACACACACACACACTATATATCAATTTTTTTCTTTTATTTTTTTTATTATTTTTTTTTTTAATTTCTTTTCCATTCCTTATTTTTTTTTTATTTTATTAAAATTTACCTCCTTCAAATTTTATATATAAATATACTAAAATATATATTTATATTAATAGCTAAATAAAGTTACTCAAAGTTATAATTAAAAAAAAAAATTGTTGTTTATAATAAATTAATATAATAATAATAATAATAATAATAATAAAAATATACATATATATATGAAATAGTTTAAAAATAATTATTATAATGACAGAAACATTAAATACAGTTTCAGTAATACCAATTACTCAGCACCACTCAAATAGTATAGTTAATAATAGTAACAACAACGAAAGTGATAATAGCACAATATCACCACCATCATCACCAGCATTAGATTCCAGTGGAAGCACTATAAATAGTAATGATAGTAGCAAATTAATGGATGATACAATAAATCAAAATATAATTATAGAAAATACAAACAAAATAAAAGAATTAAACACAGCTAAAATGGATAGCAACAGTATACAGACCACATTAAATAGTAATAAAATTGGTAGTAGTAGTAGTAATAATAATAATAATAATAATAATAATAATAATAATAATAATAATAATAATAATAATAATAATAATAGTAGTAGTAGTGGTGTTAATAATAACAATGAAATAATAAATAAAATTAAAAGTAATACTATAATACATAAACCCAATGGTATAACATTTAGTAATATAAAACAACATCATCAACAGCAACAACAACAAATTCATTCACAACATAGCACCGGTGGAAGTAGTACAGGTAGCAATAAATTAAGTCTAAGTAAGAGAATAAAATCCACAAGTACAAGTAGTAGAGCTTCAATTATAGATAATATGGATATAGAGATAGTATTTCATTCATTAAAAAACCAAGTTACTTCAAAGAATTCATTTGTTTTAGGTGTGCATAGACATAGAATGAGTAATATTAGTAATAGTAGCGGTGAACAAAGTAGCAGCAACACAACAGCAATTGTATCACCACCATCATCAGTAGATGGATATACTACATCAAATCAAGGCAACAACAATAACAACAACAACAACAACAATAATAATAATAGTAATTATAATAATAATAATAATAGTAATAATGGTACGAATAATGGTAATCCAAATCACCAACAACAATCAAATCATCATAGTATAAATGATATCATGACACCCTCAATCAATAGTAGTGATTTTAATAGTGATACAGTTGGACGTGGTAGTATTTTTACTATATCGAATAGTGATGCTGACAGTAACGCAGGTGGTTTAAATCAGCCATCTTTTAACGATTTAACCATTACTTGTGATACACTCACCGAAACTGATGAAGAAGATTTAGAAGAAGAAGGTGGTTTTTTAGAGGATTCAGATCCTGAAGATATGTTCAATGAAGATGATGATTATTTTAATGAAGAAGAGTTTTTAAAATTTGAAAAGCAATTTAAAAGTAATATTAATAAAACCAATAATAATGGTAATAATAATAATAATAATACATCTTCAGTTATTTATAATAAACCAAATCAAAATATACAACAACCACCATTATCATATCAACAACAACAATTACATTATCAACAACAATTTCAACAATTACACCAACAGGCACAACAACAAAATAGTGGTTTCTCATCTAACAAAAGATCATCAAAAGAAATAGTTAAAAAGAATTTCCAAGATGACGACGACGAAGATGATGAAAATGAAGCAATTACTGATACCGACGATGAGGTTGATGTAGTTAAAAATAAAAAGCAGCAAAAGCTAAAGCAACCACAACACCCACCACAACAACAACCACAACAACTTGTAGATAATAATAAATCATTTGTAAATAGTAATAATAGTCATAATATTAGCAATAATAATAATTTAAATAGTATTTTGGAACACCAAAGTAACGAGGATGAGGGTTCTTACAGTAGTAGTTATAAATCTAGCCAAAATTCAGTTATTTATAAACCAAACTTAGTTTCATCACCAAACTTCAAATCATCCTTATCCTCTTCATCCTTATTATCTGGAGGTTCATCACTCAGAACATCTCCATATAATCAAAGTCCAATTTTATCACCCACAGGAAATAATACAAATAATATTAATGGTCCAAACGATAATTTTAATTTAAATAGTCAAAGTGTTATTAATGTAAAAAATAATAATACAAATAATGTAGGATTAGAGTCTCCACGTAGTTTTTATTCTCAAACAAATAATAATAATAATAATAGTAGTATTAATAATAATAGTAATAATAGTAATATTAATAATAACAATAGTATTAATAGTATTAATACTAATAATAATAATAATAATAGTATTAATACCTCAAATAATGTACAATCATCACCGATGGTAATTAATAATAATATTACTTCACCAGTTTCTAATACTCAAATACCGAATAATAGTAGTATTAATAATAAATCAAATCAAACACCAAAAGACTTTTCTACAACACCAACATCATCATTTTTATCTGTATCATCAAATTCCTCAACCCATTCCACAACATCCACATCCACATCCTCAACACTCAACAGTAGTGGTAATAGTAATAGTTCACCAAAACATTCATCATCACATAAGTCAAAATCAGTTTTTTCAAAATTACTCAAAGAAGGTAAAAAACGTTTAGCAACTAAATTCCATAAAGATGTTGAAGACGAACAACCAGTAAGTATAGATACTCTAAAAATAATATATTACTAAGTATATATAGGTTTTCTAATTTTAATATTTTAAAAAAGACTTTTATTCATGTTTATAGAGGAAATGGCGACGAAAGTTGGAGAGTAAAGATTACCAGCTCAACAACAGTCAAAGATTTATTATCAATGTTGGTATCATCAACAGCTAAAAGTGAAACATTATTAAAATTAATTATCACCAGTTCATTAAACAGTTGCACGTGTAATTCTAATAATAGTCCAAATTTTCAATCAGAACCATCCACTTCACCAAATTCAACCTCATCGCAATGCACATGTAATTTAAATAAAATTCCAGAAAAAGAATTGCATGAGGATGATAAGGTATTAAGCGCTCAAAAGAAATGGAATGGACCATCAGTATTTGTATTAAAAAATAATTGTAAATCAACTAGTAGCAGTAGTGTTAGTAGTATAAATAATAGCAATAATAATACCAATAGTAATAATAATAATAATACAAGATTCTCATTAAGTTCAGTTGCTTCCGAATCATCTGATCATAGTAATCATTCACATCATCATAACAATCATTATCATCACCATCAACACAACACCAATAATAATAATAATAATGAAAATGCATCCAATATTGGATCATCGACTAATTCATCACCATGGTCCTCACCTGCACTTTCCTCACCAAAACCACAGCAATATTATGAAGGCATACCAGCATTGAATTTAGACTCGGTATCAAATTGGGAAACAGATTCAATTAACTCATCAACATCAACAGGTACACCAAAAGTTGCTAAAAGATCGACTACTATTTATCAACAACACACAAGAAACAACAGCAGTAATACCGATCATTACCCACCAAGCACTCCAACACCATTCCAAAACTTATTAAAAAAACAACACTCACACCAACAGCTACAGTTATTACAACAACAGCAACAACTACAACTACAACAGCAACAGCAACAGCAACATGGTAATCAAACAAACACATCAACTTTGCCCCAACAACCACCACAACCACCACATCAAGAAGGTTGGAAAAATGCAGAAAGACCAAGAACTGGTGTAAGATGGATAAACTCTAGTGAGCTTTCATTAATTAAAAAGATTGGTCAAGGTTCATTCTCTAAAGTGTATAAAGCTAAATATCAAGGTGAAATTGTTGCTATTAAAGTGTTAAAAGGTGAGGCTACCTCAGAACAAATTGAACTATTCAAGAAAGAGTATGATGTATTAAGTTCAACATCATCTCAAAATCTTATTAAGTTTTATGGGGCTTGTAAAGAGAAAAAATTAAAAATGGTCACAGAGTATTGCCAATATGGTTCGCTTTATAATATAATGGCAAAGAAAAGAATGGAAATTTCATGGCCTCTGGTTTTTAGATGGATGCATCAAGTCGTTGAGGGTATCAATTCCCTACATACAATGAGACCCGCTCTTGTTCATCGTGATATTAAATCTCAGAATCTTTTAATTAATAGCCAGTTGGATTTAAAGGTTGCAGATTGTAAGTTTAAACTACCACCATAAAATACTATAGTTTTTATATTTACGAGTATAATACTGATATATATATTTTTTATTTATTATATAGTTGGTTTAGCTAAACCTACAGAACTCCAAACCGGAAGTAATACCACTATAAAGGGTACAATGCTATACTGTGCACCAGAGCTTTATGGAGGTGCTAGTTATAGTGAAAAAGCGGATGTCTATTCCTTAGGTATAGTTTTGTGGGAGATTACCACACGTGTAATTACAGGGCGTTATCAAAGACCATACGAAGACTACACCGAAATTAGTTTTGATTTTCAGATTGTAATTATGACATCAAAGCAAGGTATTCGTCCAACCATGCCACCAAATGTTCCACCCAAACTATCTTATCTCATTCAAAGATGTTGGAACCAAGATCCCAAAGAAAGACCATCATGTCAACAGGTTTTATTGGCCATACAATCACTTTACGATGATTATATATCCGATCCAGAGTATTGGCACTCATTAATTTCCCATACCTCAAATCACAGCAACATGTATAACAATGATGAAAACGAACATAATGAACAATATCAACAATATGAACAACACCATTAAAATAACAACAAACCCTATTTATTAAACCATCAAAAAAAATTAAATTTTTTTTTTTTTTTTTTTACAATTGTATATATAATAAAAAAAAGAAATTTAACCAAAGAAGGATTTTTGTTTTTTTTTTTAAAAAAGTTTTTTTAAAAATTTTTTTTGTTTTTTTGTTAAAAAAAAAAAAACTTTAATAATAAAATTTTTTTTTTTTTTTGGTTTTTTTTTTTTTTTTTTTTTTTTTTTTTTTTTTTGGTGCTATTATTTACATGTCTTTTGACACCAGCTACATTGTTGCAGTTGATTGTTTATAGTAATGATATTATTGACATTTATTGTGATAGTTATAAAAATGTATTTATTTGAAAAAAAAAAAAAACATCTTTTTTAACTATCTATTTTTGTTGTACTATTATTTTGGTTATTATTACTTATTTTTTCGTTAAGTTTATTATCATTTTCGATGTTGTTTTTAGAAGAGTTGGTACTGTTATTATTGTTATTATTGTTATTTTGAGAAACTGTTTCAGTTGCTATTTTATCTGTTTTTGATTTATCTTGTTGATCTTTATTTATTTCAGTAGGAGAGGATGATGAAGAACTTGATTGAGGTAGTTGTTCAGATAGTGACTCTTTGTTATCTTCGGTCGTAGTTGAGTCTTTTTCAGTTGTAGCCTCTTCGCCCCATGAGTCCATATAATCATTTAAAACTTTAATAACTTCTTCTACTTCAGTTTTTAATTCGGGAAAAAATGATTCAGCTTCTTGTAATTGATCAAATTTGCAGTATGCTTCAATTTTTCCACTTAAGTATCTAACTGCTTCGGCACCAATATAACTACTACTACCTTTAATATCGTGTGAGTGTAGTATGGCATCTTTTGTATTCTTATCTTCAAATGCTTTTGAAAGTTCTGGAAGGTGCTCTTCAACTGATGTAATATATGATGTAATTAATTCTCTTTCGAATTCGTGGTCACCTTCAGAGTAATCCAATAATACTGATTGGATAAATCTGTCAGTTGGTGTTGGTCCTTGATATTCTGAAATCATTTGTTTTATTAATATGTGTGTATTTGTATATTTGATGTGGTATTTGATATATTTGTATTTAAATAAAACTATAAGAAAAAGAAAAAAATTGAGATTTTATTTTTTTTTTTATGGTTTTTTTTTAAATTTTTTAATTAAATAAAAAAAAATTTATAAATTTTGAAAAAAAAAAAAAAAAAAGTTATTAGATTTCTTTATAATATTTTATTTTATAAAATGAAAAAGAGAAATATATATATATATATATTCTATTAGGTTTGAGAGTTTAAAAAGGTGATAGTGAGGTTATTACTATAATTATTATTTTATAAATTTTAAAAAAAAAAAAAAAAAAAAGTTTTGATTGAATGAAAAATAATATATATTAATTTTTTAAATAATATATTAATAGAAAAAAAAAAAAAAAAGAAAAAATAATTATATATTAAAATTTTTAAAAAAAAATATAATATAATTAAAAAATAATGGAAAAAAATTAAAAAAAAAAAAAAAAAAAATTATTTAATTGTGTGAGCTCATGTTTTTTTTTTCTTTTTGGAGTGTGTAGTTTTGTATGTGACTGAGTGTTTGGTGTGTGTAGAAAATGTGTGTTTGAAGCTTTATTTTTAAAAATAATAATTATTTTTTTTTAATATTTACAATTACTACAATAAATTTGTGATTTTAAAATAATATTATTCTTACAATTATATAATTTATAATTTATATATTTATTAATATTTTATTATTTATACTTTTAAAAAAAACAACAAAACAAAACAAAAAAATAAAAAAAAAAAACACAAAATAAAAAACTTATTTGCTATTATTTAAAAAATTATAATTTAGTGTATTAAAAATTATTATCTTATTTATTTATTTAAATAACAATTAATTGTATTCAAATATTTTATTATTAATATCTATTTAATTAATTTACTTTTTTTTATAAAAAAAAAAAAAAAAAAAAAAAAGGAAACATTTGTTGGTTCTTTTAAATCTTGAACAACAATTTTTTAATTAAAAAATTAATATATTTTTTTTTTTCTATTTTTTTTTTCTATTTTTTAAAATAAATATGAAGAGGAGGCCAAACAGTGCAAATATTTTTAGAAAACTAAAAAAAAAATTTATTTTCTAAAATATAAATTAAATAAAGTTTTTTTATATTTATTTTTTTTTTATTTTTTTTTTTTATTTTTTTTTTTTTTCTGTCTATCCCTCTTCGTTTAATTCACATATTTAAAAATTTGAGATTCTATCACAATATTATCTCTATTAACCCCATCCTCCACTATTCTCGTTACTCTACCCTATTCTATTTCAAATTTGGGTATTTTTTTTTAAAATTATTTACTTATATTTTTTTTTTTAATACTCTAAATATGTTTTACGTATGATACCATTTTTAATTGAACCATGACACTTTTTAAACTTTTGTTTAGATTTACATGGGCAAATATCATTGGGACCAACTTTAGCTTTTTTTATTGACCCTAAATTTAATGAGCCCCTATAAATATTAATTGCCTCTAAAATTATCAAATTAGAAAAAAATTGTAAAATTAGTATTAGTCATTTATAATTTGAATTTTACTACAATATCATAATGTTGAAAAAAAAATAAAAAAACAATATAAATAACTTTTTGGATACACCCATAAAAAATTATTTTTGTAAAATTTGTGCAATTTACAAATTTGATAAAGAGATTGGTGGTGATAACGGAGGCGTGGTAAATTATAAAAAAAATTAGTAGAAATGGGGAGATATTATTTTTTATTTTTTTATTTTTTTTTTATATTATTTTAAACAAATCTTGTTATTAAACACAAATTTAAACAAATAAAATGGATTAGAAAAAGATAATTATTAATATTATTACTTACGGAATAATTGATCTATAAAATTATTTAATTGTGTAGAGTCGATTGAATTATGAATTTTTAAAAATGGTTCTAAATATTTTTCAAATTGGTTTGGGTCTTGTAAAAGGAATTCGTTGGCTAAAGTGTTTGGGGTTGTCATTTGAGAGATTAATTGATCGTTCCATAAACCATTTTCAAAGATAATAATATTGCTTGGTGGGCCCTTTAATTGAATAGCTGGATCGACAAAGTCGTTGATAATCGAAATCGAGTTTAAAAGAGATTGATTGATTTTTGAAACCTTTAAATACTCTTCAGGAATTCTTTGAAGAATTGGTGCTTTATCTGATAATGAAATACTGATACTTTCAACAACATTAATTTCTTTAAATTCGATGATTCCCTTTAATTTTTCTTTAAGTTTGTTTTGAATATCAATCCAAATTAGTTCGACGGTGGAGTTGGTTTCTCTTTGTTTTTCTACAGCATCTTTTCTAACTGGGATATTAAAGCATCTGAATACCATAACCATTTCATCACCATTATCTTTGTCGCTGAGAACGTATTGTAACTCTTCCTCAATCTTTTCTAAGTTAATTCTATCGTCATAGTTTGAGTCAATATGCACAAAAGTAATACGATTTTTTGATTTAAATATAAAAACGCTTGAATCTAAGGTAATCTCTTCTGTATAAAATCTAATTTTTTCATTTTCTTCTTTACCCAATACTCTTTCATTTCTTGCAATAAATCCAATTGGGATTGAATAGTTTAAAGATGAACTAAATAAATCATTTATACTTTGAGTTGTAAACGATATCATTATTATTATTAATTATAATTGCTAAAGTTTTTTTTTTTTTAAAAATAAATTTTAAAAAATAAAATTTTTTTTTTAAAAAATAAAAAAAATAATAATTAAAATTTTTATTCGGTTTTTAAAAATAATTATAATTAATTTTATTATTTGATTTTTTTATAAATAAGTATTTATTTATTCTTTTTTAATACTAATGAATACTTTTGTAACATATTTATAAAATATTTATATAAATATAATAAAATTCAATTATATAATAAATTGTTTTTTTTTATATTGGTTTTATAAAATAGGATAGAGTTTGCATTTTTAGATTTAATGTTTGATAAAATAGTAACATTCCTTTTTATTTTATTTTATTTTTATTTTTTATTTTTATTTTTTTTATTTTAATTTTTTTTTTTATTTTTTTTAAAAACTTCATTTTTTAAAAACTTCATTTTTTAAAATTTTTTTTTTTTAAAGTTTTAATTATTTTTTTTTATACAACAAATATTTTTATTTATTTAAATAAATATAAATATATAAATATAAAATAAAATGAGTGACCAAAGAGCTGCAGTACCAGCTGCAGGTGCACCAGGTCAACCACAGCAACAACAGCAAGGTGGAATGGGTCAATTAATTTCAACCATTATTAGATTCCTCTTAATGTATTACCTTGCAACTTTTGCAATTAACAAATTTTTTGGTACTCAAACAAGTACACCAGCTACTACAGACCCAACAGGCATAGCAAACAATAGCAATAGCAATACAACAATAAATAATAATATTAGATTAACAAACTCATGGTCCGAAGGTTCAGAGTTTGATTTAAAAGTATATTTTTCAGCATCAGAAAACTATATTGGAGAATGGTTAGTTTTGAATGAAAAGGGCTTAACATATGATTGGAGCGAACATAACAATATCTATAAAAATTATACATTCGATACACCAGAATATTTAAAAAACAATGGTTCATTATACGCTCATATTATTGCCACCAAACGTGCATTTTTAAATCAACCAAAATCATCATTACATAAAGTCCATCGTATGTACAAACACTTAAAATTTTAATATAATTATTATTTTTAAAATTAATAATTTTTTCTTTATTAATTTAGAATTAAATACATTCCTTGCAAGAGGTGAACCAAAAGGTAAACTTTTACTTTTTGATGCAGAAGAGGAAGAGGAACAAGTTAAGCTTGATCCAAAGGAATATATCTCATATTTCAAGCCAACATTAGCATTGCATCTAATTGTCGATTCAACTGTTTATCCACCAGAATCAATTCCAAAAGAAATTGTTCAAGGCTTTAATATTACAGGAAACAAATATTCACCAATTATTTATTGTAACGAATTTTGGTTATTCAAAGATTATTTAATTCCAGTTAACGAAACTGTTGATAAATTGTCAATTGAAATTAGTTATTCATCAATGGGTCTTTTTAAATGGCAATTCCAAACTCAAATTGAAAAATCATTTGAAATGCAAGAGCAATCATTTGGTGCAGGCGCTGGCGCTGGTGATGATATTAAAAGAATGTTCCTTGAAAATGAACCATGGGTTTTGGTTTTAACATTAATAGTTTCAGTATTACATACAGTTTTCGAATTTTTAGCTTTTAAAAATGGTAATTATTTCTCTTTAAAACAACATACATTATAGTGCTTCATTTAAAATTCAAATATTAACTATTTTTATTTATAGATATTCAATTTTGGAAAAATAATAAATCAATGGAAGGTTTATCAGTTCAAACTATTACATTAAATTGTATTTCAAGCACAATTATATTTTTATATTTACTTGACCATGAAACCAGTTATATGGTTCTTGGTGGTATGGGTTTTGGAACCATTTTAGAGTTTTGGAAATTAACAAAAGCAGTACACATTAACGTAGTTTGGATGGATAGCTTACCATTACCAAAGAGACTTAAATTCACCAACAAAGACGATTATGTTTCAAAAACCAAAGTATACGATGATATGGCTATGAAATACTTATCATGGGTCTTAATGCCATTGGTCATTGGTACCTCAGTTTACTCACTCTACAACTACGAACAAAAGAGTTGGTATTCATGGGTTGTTTCAAGTTTAGTACGTACCATTTATACATTCGAATTTATCAAGATTACTCCACAACTCTTTATCAATTACAAATTAAAATCTGTTAGTCGTCTTCCATGGAGAGTTTTCATGTACCGTACTTTAAATACTTTTATCGATGATCTATTTGCATTCATCATTAAAATGCCTTTATTACATCGTCTCTCTTGCCTTAAAGATGATGTCGTTTTCATCATCTATCTCTATCAAAGATGGATTTACCCAGTCGATGTAAATAGAGCCGATTATGGTTACGAATCAGATAATGATCCAGCAATTTTGGCTTTAAAGAAAAATCAAGAAACAGCCACAAAACAAATTAAAGAGAAAAATGAACAAGAAACTGAAAATAAACAAAAGGAAGAGGACAAAGAAGAGGACAAAGAAGAGGATAAAGAAGAAGAAGAAGAAAGCAATACAAGCTCTAATAAAGTTACAAAAAGAAAAACCAAAAAAATTTAATAAATAAAATAATTATAACATTTAATACAGTTTTTTTTTTTTGGGTGATAGTTTTATTTAAAAATTAAAATAGAATCTATAGATTTCTGAAGATAAATACCAATTATTATCAATTGGGATGTTGACAAGTTCGGAAGTAAAGTTGTTATTAATATCTAATAAGTTTAAGTTGAAAGTGGTGGTTATATTGTTTGAGGTACCCATCATAATTAACATTAATTTTGAATTATCGCCATTTACAATATATGGTTGGTATTTAGTTGTATAATCACCGATTTCTACATTTAATAAATCTGCACAGGTATTTTCAGTTGTACCAAAGTCTACTCTGCAAATTGTAATTGATGTTTGTGAATAACGAGTTGGTTTAACTAAAAATAATTGTCCATTTTGGTTGGTAAACATAAAATTAACTAAACCATTAAAGACGTTATCGATTGTTGAATATGATTTAATTACAGTATAGGTTGTAGTATCAACTGAAACAATGCTAACACCACCAGTTGTGTCAATATAAGTAATATATAAAATTGAGTTTATAGCGTCAAAGGCTTGAATGGCACTTGGTGAACTGTTTGGATATGGAGCAGCAATTGGAATAAAATTCATTTTACCACCAGCAACCTCAATTTCTAAAATATTAACTGGGGATGAAGGGGTTGAAACTACCAAGTATACAGTTTTTGATTGGGAATTATAAACATATCTTTGTGTTCTGTGCATGTATGCCTCACCACCTTCTATTGGGACGTATCCAACTTGAACAAGACTAACAGTCTTTTAAAATAAAAAAAATTAATATTAAAATAAAATAAAAAAAATAAAACTAATATTTCATTTTTTTTACATACATCAACGCTATATAAATAAAAAGTAAAACCTATACCGCTACGAGTCATTAAAAGGACCTATTAAAAAATATCTATTAATACATCGTGTAAAGTTTATTTATAATTAAATATACATACAGAACCAGTATTATCATCATAAAATAGGACATCTTCTAAATTTCCTTGACAAGAAAAAGTATGATTGAAAGAAACACCATTATCTGAATTTAATATGTTAATTTGGTTGAAAGATTGGAGGGTTGAAACTGATAAAAGATTTACACCATTGGCTGACGATGAATCAGCATTAACACAACCAAAAACAAACAATACTAAAATAACAAATATATTTAAATATTTCATTTTTATAATTTATTAATTACATTAAAAAAAATTTTTTTTTTTTTTATAGAAAAAAAAATTAAATTATAAACAAAAATTTATTATTAAACTGGAAAAAAAAAAAAAAAAGTGGAAAAGATATTATTTTGGTGACAAAAATACCGAAAAAAATACCGACTTTAAATTAGTTTTTACAAAAAAACTTAAATATTTAGGGTGAAGGTAATGAAAAAAAAAAAAAAAAAAATAAATAAAATAAACTATCAAATAAAAAGAGAGATACACATAATTGATATTGGAGTTGTATATTTTTTTAAATAATATAATTATTTTTTAATTTTTTTTTTCTCAAATTTTTTTTTTTTTTTTTTTTTTTTTTTTAATTTTTTTAAAATATTTTTCATTTTCATTTTCTTTCTTCTCTTTTAAATTAAATAAATAATTTAGATAAATAAATAAATACCAATTTTTGTGTGTTTTTATTTAAATGAGTATAGATTTACTATTTATTAGTTTAGAATCATTAGTTAGTTTTGTTTATAATATCTCAACAAAACCAGAAATACCTAAAAAACTATGGAGTCAAATAGATAATAATTTAAATAATGAATTAAATAACTTTAATAATATAATAAACAATAGACTAGATAATAGTGATGGCAATAACTTTAATAGTAATAATAATAATAATAATAATACTAAACCAAAGAAAAAGGAAATTATATCACCAAATGATTTAGAAAATTTAGAAATAAATGACGATGACGAGGACAATGAACAAGTTGGTCAAGAACAACAAGGTAAAGAAAAAACAAAAAGTGAAAATCAAAAAGATATAGATAAAGAATACCTAATATTGGCAGATAATGAAAAAGAAAAATTTAAATACTATTTAAAATCAATTATAAGCAGATACAATGAAAACTTCAATTTATTTTCAAATTTAGTTCATCATTTGTTTTCAAAAGAATACTCAAACTCTATTGAATTTATAAAGTTTAAATATAGTTTATTAATGAAGGAAATACTGGTAGAAATTTGTAAAAATAGTGATAAGGAATTACCAATTTCATTTAACGTAAATATTTTATTTAAAAAAAAAAAAAAGAAAAAGAAAAACCTAACATAAATTTTTTTATTATAAATAGGATCAAAAAATTATTAAAAGCGAATTAGATTTAATTGTTGGCTGGGTAATTTTACCAAGTTTTTTAAATGGTATTGGTGTACCAATGGGTAAAAGGGTATCAAGTAGCAGCATTGTAATAGAACAAATATTTAGTGGCAATGATGATAACCAAGCCAGTTATAGATCAAACGAAAAGTACTGTTGTTTTCAAATGAACCACTTTATAAAGTCACTCTTGGAAATTAGAAAGCTAAATTTAGATGTGAACTCAATTATTATTTCAAGATATCTCTCAGATTTGTTTGCAGGAATTTTACAATTGATAAATTTAAAAACATCACCATTAAATTTAGAACAAAAAAAAGAAATCTCAAGTGAAATTGATCAATTGCTTTATGGAGTTTACCCAGAGATTGTATTTGAATCACTAACATTACTGTTATCATCGTCACTGTCAACAGTCAATCAGCCTCCAATATGGTTTAGCAAATGTATTGGTCTAATGTTATCCAAGTGTTTAATGAGACCACACTCTGTTAAAATTTTAATAAACTCAATTCTATCATCAAATATCCAGGGTAAAACATCAAATAAACCAATTCAAAATATAGTTAGACTTATTACATCGGTACCATCTACCATGAAGATTGAAGAGTACTATAGTAAAGTAGCACCTCAAATTATAGATGTCCTTCACCAGCGTGACAGAGAGCGTTCGAACAAATCCTCAAAGGTTTTAGATGCATCCCTATCGATTATAGAGTCAATGTTAAACGATCAGCCAGAGCTTACTATTCAATACATTATTGAACCAATTATCAAACCATTTTTAATATTCCAAAACCATAAATCAACTGCAACTACAACTACAACCAGCACTGAAGATGATACAATTGTTGTTAAAGAGATTGATTTGTTCTATTCTATTGAAGATTTACATAAACTAATTTCAAAGCTATCACTTAATCAAACATTTTTGGACTCTATATCAAGAATTATACCAACATTGTTTCAACTTTATTGCTTTGTATCAAAATCAATTTCATCCCTCAAAATATCATGTAAAGAAATCCTATCAACATTTTTTAAATTTTCAAGTAACTCTGTTAGTGAATTAAAAAATTTAATATTACCAAAACAAAATAATAATAATAATAATAATAATAATAATAATAATAATAATAATAATAATAATAATAATAACAACAATAATAATAATTCCAATGCTTCAAGCACTACAACAATTAAATCTGACACATCATTATTAGATTTAGAAGATAAAATAACAATCGAAGAGGATTATCAAGATGATAGCAAAGAAGATGGTTTGTTATATTTATCATTTAGTATGGGTGAAAATGGTGGAGTAGTTGGCAAATATGTATCCTATGAAAATAGAGATTTTAAATGGGAAGCAGACTGTATAGTATCAATATTTGAAATTATGAAGGGTGATAGTTTAGCAGGTGACCTTTTTGTAGATTTATTAAATGAATTTTCAATTTTGCAGCAACAGAAAACCAAACGTAGTCATCAATATTATGTATTAATTCAATTTATAATTATAATGAGTGAAGGATTAGGTTCGGCTGTATTAAAGAATGTGGTTCAAGTTTGTACATTTGTTAAAGTCTTGTTATCAAGATCCATAAGCAAACATAATAGTGGCAAAGAAACCGAGGAAGATATCGAATCATTGACTTTATCGCTAGGTATTCTTACAACATTGCTCACAGGTGAAATTACAGTTAGAAAAGATGAAGAAATCATCGTATTCGATTTATTAACTCTTGTAGAACAACTGTCATACCACTCAAACGAAATTATATCAACTATGGCATCACAAATTAAAACCATCATTACAGCAAAAAAACCAATTTGGCTTACCGATCAACAACAAGATGGCGAAGGCGACGATCATCTAACCACAGCAAAAGAGCAAGGCGACAAATTAAAAGAGATTTTGAAAGACCTCAGTGACCCATTATTACCAATCAGAGCACACGCATTAATTCAACTAAGAAAAATGGTATTATCAAAGAGTGGTCTTATCGAACAAAATTTAAATAACGTTTTAGAAATATTTAAAACTCAAATCGGCGACGACGATACATTTGTATATGGTGTATCTATCAATGGTTTATCAGCATTAGGTGACATATATCCAACTAGAATTCTACCTATTTTAATCGATTCATTCCTAAATAAACAATATCCAGAATTCAAAAGAATGAAGATTGGTGAATCTTTAATCCAAATTTCTCAACGTTTTGGCGAAGCATTACCAAAATATGCAGATAAATTAGTACCCACTTTTTTACAAGGTTGTAAAGCGCAGGAAGCAGTTGGTGTTAGAACCAGTAGTTTATCAAATCTTTCTACACTATGCGAAATGCTCCATTATTCTATTGACTCTTATTTGGTTGAAATATTACACTGCGCCAACACAATACTTTCGAGTGACCCAGAAATTGAAGTTAGAAGAGGTGCCATTTTCATTTTCCAGCAATTATTAAAAGGTCTTGGTTTGGACTCTTTCGAAATTATACCGAACGAACTAAAAGAAATTTATAATACTCTAAAGAAAACTGAATTTTATGATCCCGATGAAATTTGTAAATATCATGCCCGTGCTGCGTTATACGATCTCGAAACAATAACAAAACAATTTATTTTCCCAGATAATGGTCAACTAAAAAAAGATATTAGAAAAATTTTATAAATAAAATCAACAAAGTATTTTTAAAAAAAAAAAAAAGTGATATTAAAAAAGCCAAATAAATATAGATAGTCATTATTAATCAGTTGGAAAAGATAAATTAAAAATATTCACAATAAAAAAACTAAAAAATAAAAAAACTAAAAATAAATTGGTTAAAATAAAAATAGAATAAAATATTTATTTTATAAAAGATTAAATAAATTTAAAACTATATTCATTTTTGGTCAATAAAAATATTTAATCAGTTTCTTTGAACATATAATATAATTTTTTATACAAAAAAAAAAAAAAATCAAAAATCAAAAAAAAATCAACATTTCAAATAATAATCTTTTTGGTTCAATGAAAATTTTTTTGTGGGTTGTGAATAACCACAAAGGTAAACTACAAATATTTTATTTATTATTATTATTATTAAATATAATAAAATCACACAACACAAAATTGATCAACTTCAAATAAACGAAGAAGAAAAATTAATATATATTTTTTTTTCCAAAAAGTAATAAAATTAATTTATTATAACCAAATAATAACCAATTAATACAAAACAATAGTTCGAAACAATAATAAAAATAATAATCATATTTTAATTAATTAAAGGAAAAAAAAAAAAAAATTTGATCAACCATTTTGGTTTTTTTATTTTTTTTTTATTTTATCATAACAAAGTCATAAAAAAAACAAAAAATAAAAAAATAATTAAAAAAAAAAATATTTTTAAAAAAAAAAAAAAGAAACTTTTTTTTTATTTTAAAAAAGCACATATTATTTTTTTTTTTTTTCACAATATAAATATAAATTATTAATCAACTCATCATATACAATTTTTTTTTTCTCACACTTCCCCATCCTCTTTATATATATTATAAACATTAATTATTATAAAAAAAAATAAAAAAATAAAATAAATTTAAAATTTTTTTTTCTTTTTTTTTTTTAAATTAACCCTCTTGAATAATTTATTTTTATTTTTATTCACACACACGCACACAACACTCATATCAATAACAATAACATTAGAAATAATACACCAAACAAATAAATAGTCGTAATACATACATATAAATAGAAATCGCTAAACAAATCATCATACATCAAATAAATAATATCTATCTAGTTTATTAATTATTAATTATCAATTGTTATTTGTCATTATTTAATTGTTTCTTTTAAATATTTTTCAAAATTTTTATTTATTCAAACTATTTATTTATTTCACTATATATTTATTTATTTATTTATTTATTAAAATAACTGTTATCATTAAAATATTTTAAAAACAAAAAACAAAAAAAAGAAAAAATTAATTTTTTTTTATAATATACACCAAACAATAAACAAAATAACATTAAACACCCTTTGTAAATATTTCTAAACCTTTTAATTTTTTTATTTCAAATAAAATTATTTATTATATATAATCACCAAAATATTTTATATATATTTTTTTTAAAAACATTTAATTTAATAATAAAAATAATCAACAACAACAACAACAACAACAACAAAATTATAGAAAATGATTAATGATCAAGAATCAGTTATAGACGTTGGGTCAGATGAAGAAAGAGATTACGATGAAGATGATGATACCACAGTTATTAATCCAAGTGATCCATTATCAAGATCAACAATGGATAGATCTTTAGCTGCTAAAATGTATATTGAACAGTATTATATAAATGCTCAACAATCAGTTAAAGATAGAGGACAAAGGTAAATATCATAAAGCATAGTTGGTTATTATAAAGTAAAAAGTTATTAACAAACTTTACTTTATTTAATTTATAATTTTTTGTAGAAGAAAAGATTTAGAACAAAAATTAGAAAATATGAAATTATCATCAAAAGAATCAAATGATCTTAGAAAAGAATTGGATAAGAAGGAATCTGATCATTTAAGAATAAGGAGATTAAAGTTAAAGAGATCCGATTTCGAGTTAATAAAGATTATTGGTAGAGGTGCATTTGGTGAAGTTAGTTTAGTTCGTCACAAAGAATCAAATGATTTATATGCCATGAAAAGATTAAAGAAATCGGAAATGTTAAAGAAAGAACAAGTTGCACATATTAGAGCCGAAAGAGATGTTTTAGCTAGCGCCAATACTAATTGGGTAGTCAAATTATACTATAGTTTTCAAGATGAAAATTACCTTTATCTCATTATGGAATATTTACCAGGTGGTGATATGATGTCCCTTTTAATAAAGTATGATATCTTTACAGAGAACCAAGCTCGTTTCTACATTGCCGAGACTATTCTTGCCATCGAATCAGTTCACAGTCTTGGTTACATCCACAGAGATATTAAACCAGATAATCTTTTATTAGATTCTAGAGGCCATGTCAAATTATGCGATCTTGGTCTTTGTACAGGTTTCCATCGTCTTCATTCATCCGAATTTTATCAAATGCTTGTTGGTGATGCAATGACGATCAAAATGAAATTAATTGAAGCTACTCCTCTCACTCAAACTGAAAGAATTGCATCTTGGAAGAAGGCAAGAAGAGCATTGGCTTACTCTGCTGTTGGTACTCCCGATTATACTGCTCCAGAAGTTTTCCTTCAAGTAGGTTACGGTAAAGAGGTAGATTGGTGGTCTTTAGGTGTAATTCTTTATGAAATGGTTGTTGGTCATCCTCCATTCCTTTCTGATAATACCACCGAAACTTGTCTTAAAATTTTAAATTGCAAAGAAACTCTTCAAATTCCAACTGATATGGGTTTATCAAAAGAAGTTATAGATTTAATTAAAAAGTAATTAGAATTTTGAATTTAGAAATTAATTTTTTATACAACAAAATATTAATATTTTTTTCTTTATTTATTTAGATTGGTTTGTGAAAAAGATAGATATAAAACTGCAGATGAAATAAAACTTCATCCATTCTTTAAAGGCATAAATTGGGAAAATATTAGAAATCAAAATGCACCATTTGTTCCAGAATTAAAAAGTCCAACAGACACATCAAACTTTGACGACTATGAAGAGCTTGAAGAGGACGATGTTAAAATAACCACCACAAGTTCTAATACCACCACACCAACAAAGAAATCAAATATTATTGATAAGAGAAATATTAAAGATAAAGATTTAGCTTTTATAGGTTTCACTTACAAAGGTTTTGATGCTCAAAACAAATCACCAAATGGCACTAGAAAGAATGTACATGTTGAATCAATTTTTGCTACAACCAAGTAAATAAAATAAATAAATTAATTTATATTTATATATATATTTATAGAAATCCTTTTCCTATTTCAAATTTTAAAATATTAATAAAAATTAATTTGTTTTAAAAATACTTTTTCGTTTTCAATAAATATTACATGCATGGTTTTTCTTTTTTATTATTTCTAATTTAAAAATTTTCAAAATTTCAAAATTAAATATGGGTTGCTTTGTTTTTATAATTTCCCCCTTATTTTATATGGGGCATTTGCATTATTCTCTATTTATTTATTTCAAAGTCTTTTTTTAATATTTTATTTCCCCATTATAGATAATCTTTTTTTTTTTTTTATTATGTTTTTTAAAATAAAAAGAGTATAAATAGTTTTTAAAAAATTATTTTTTAAAACAAACACAACTTAAAACAAATAAAAAAAAATGATTTTTAGTAAGATTTCATTAAAAGAAAAACAAATATAAAATTTATTAATTTTTTTATTTTTTATAAAGATTCAATTATCTCTCTATCAAGCACTGGTTCATCAATGAAATCTGGTATTGCCTCAAGTTTGGTATCAGACTCCTATGGTGATAATGATATTGCTGCATTGGTTAAGCGTGAACCAACTAATTGGTCCAAACCAACCCCAAAACATCACCAGAAACCCCATAAAAAACACTGGGGTTGTTAAAACCACAATTGTAGTTTAAATAAAAAAAAATTTTAAACAAAATATATAAATTAAAGATATTATTAGTTTCAAAAAAAAAATTGTTATATATATTTTTTTATTTTATATTCTTTTAAAACTTTTTATAATGAATAAGACATTAATCTTGTATCATCTTCTCTTTTAATTTCTTCAAAAAAATCATGTGGTTCGGAATTAAATTGTGTAGTTGGTTGTGATGGTGATGGTTGAGGTTGTGCAGTATTTTTACAATTATCAATAATATCAGTGTTGTTAATTTTAAAATTTTCATTCAAATTATTCATTGATATATTTCCACTATATTCACCTCCTCTATTTACCAATTTTGATAAGAATTCTATAACATAATTATAAAAAATTTATAAAAAATAATATTTAGTATTTTTTATTTTATTTTTTATATTTTAAAATTTAGAAACAACTTATT